GTGTGTGTGTGTGTGTGTGTGTGTGTGTGTGCGCACGCACACTGGAGAAGGCTTGAGGGCCTGGCACAGCAGGACAGGGTGTGGGAGACCAGGCTGGTGGAACAGGCGGGCTCAGTGGGACCCCAGTATATCAGGTGGCACCCTAGGGGGGGCGGGGGGTCCTGTCACAGAGGTTTAAAGAGTCCAAAGAATTAAATACATTCCCAATTTTGAAATTGGAGCAGTACTTACAAAATTTCAAAGCACTGGAAGTATTGTATAGACTTTCAAAGCAACTTGCTGAGTGTTCTACTAAAGGAATTATTTTTTCAAACTTGTTTTTCAGTGGGCGGGAGGAATTATTTGAGGGACAATTGAATAGTTTTATGGAAACCTTGATAGTGAATTATGAGCTAATTTTTAGGATTTTTTTTCATTACCTTTGGTGATGCTTTTGGTTTTTCCTTGAGAATTTTGGCCAGGTTTCAGTTTGGTTGAATGAAAACTGAGATTGAATGAAAAGTTTCCCCCAAATAAAAGATTACCCCACAGTTGGCCATGTTTTTAAAAATAAATTTTAATTTTAATATCTGCGTCCTGCTCAGTAACTTCTAACCATTGCTTATCCCTCCCATATGCATATCCCGTTCCTTTTAGGGTGGAATAAGGAGGGTGGATTTTCACAGCACCTAGTTTTCATCTGTATAACACAACACAAAGAACAGGTGTTAGAATTATGACAAATGTATAGAGAACCGAAGGGGTAATTGTCAGTTTGGGATGGCGTTTTATATGTAATTTTTTTTCCCCAAGGTTAAGTGAAATTATATGCTATCAAGTTTAAAAGGTGATACACAATTTCACCACTTTGTAGAACAAAAGTGGTTTTTGTTTTAAAGCAACAATTTTGATTTTACAGTGTTGGGAAGAAGTAGCAAAAGTCCTGCAGTTGGCAGCTGCAATGCATTAGCCTTCTGAGAGCCTTTAAACAACATTATTTATTTACCATTGAATCAAGGAAATATTTGGTTCACACAAAGTAGCATGAGCAACATACTTCCTGCATAAGCTGTGAACAATCAGCAGTGGAAGGAAGCTGCTGTGTACCAGCTTTCAAAAAAACAGCATAGCTTGTTTCAAAGCAGGGCATAAGACAAGCCAGATGGTGAACTGATTCAGCTAAAACTTATACATCTGGGAAGAAAGTTTGTGTTTCAGAAGTATTCTTGCCAAAGAGAGCAGGGTGTGTCATTGAAGTTCTTGATCTAATTTTGTCCCTTAAAAACAAAGGTTTAATTTTCCCATTGACAGACTTTATTTTAAATAATATTTTCAATGCATTATTTTTCTTAGGAGGCCCGAACATGTGGGCTGTTACCTCTGAAGAGCGAGCAAAGCATGACAAGCAGTTTGAGAGCCTTAAACCGATAGGAGGATATATTACAGGTTAGTTTGTGGTATACATTAACTTCTGTGTACATTAAAGTACCTGTGTAAAACAGTTTGAAAACCTTCATCCTTGTTCAGCTGTTTGTTTGCTGTGTGACTGATAACCATGCTGTGTGACCATAAAGCACACGTTTTTATTATAAACTCTTTCAGTCACAGGTTTATAAACTTAGTTTCATCTGAAATCTGGCATAGAATATCTCTGCAAAAGGGGATATCCTTCTTATTAACCTCTGCACTAATGCAGCCAACCACCTTTTGATGTCGTCCCTTCCAGTTCCATAAGCTAAGTAGAGTCAGGCCAGGTCAGTGCTTGGATGGAAGGCTGCCAAGGAAATTTTTTTGAAGTTGCTGCAGCAGATGACATTGGTGATTGAGGAAGTAGCAGTCTTCCCTCTGAATTGTGTTGAGGGACACTGTTGCTGGAATTCTAATGCTTTCGTATGAGATGTAAAATTAAGGTCCTGACAACTTGTGTTCATTAAAGAGCCTATGGAATTTATCACAAGTAACTGAGTATTAACCTCTGTGCCTTCCCCAATTCCAACTTGGGTAATTGCATTCTGCTTACCTATGCTCTTCTGGGATTTTCAGTTGCATTGAACATTTTCTTCTGCTAAAATGCTGGGTAGGGTTACTGTTCATTGTTAAAAATCTTCTGTGTTCCATCCCAGAGAAGGCTGGTATTCAGTGGTGAAGTATCGCTTACGCAGGGGTCGGCAACCTACGGCACGTATGCCAAACAAGGCACGCAAGCCGATTTTGAGTGGCTGCCTGCCACGGTCCCGGCCCCCATCCCGACTCAGCCCCTCCCCCCCCCCCGCTGTCCTCTGCGGGGGGCAGGAGGCGGAAGCTTGGTTCTGCGGCAGCCAAGCTTTCCCCCTCCCCCGCTTCTTCCCCCCCAGCGTGGTGCTTTTCTGCCGTCCTCTTCTCCTTCCCTGGGCCGATCAGTTGATGGCCCTTGCGAGGGAGAGGGGGAGGAGTGGCAGTGTGCTCGCTGCCCCGTAGAGGAGGCAGAGAAGAGGTAGGGACGGGGCCTTGGGGAAGGGGTGGAACAGGGCATATCCCTTCCAGCCCCCTGCCTTGAGCCGCTCAGAGCAGGGGGCTGGGAGCACCCCCACAAGCCGAGCACCTCAGCCCTCTGCCCTGATCCCTGAACCCCCCCACACACCCAGCCTTCTCTTTGCACACCCCACACCCCTCAGCCCTGACCCCAGAACCCCCCCACACCCTGACTGCTCTTTGCACACCCCACACCCCTCAGCCCTGACCCCAGAACCCCC